AGCCACCTGCCTTAAATTTGTGCGAGCTGTAATAGATTAGAAGCCTCCGTGTGATACTGTCATTAGTGCAGGCAGCAAAGAGAGACTTTGTCAACAAGAGTTTGTGTACTGCTGAGCTGACTGACCAGCGTGTCACTCTTTCAAGATCTGGATGAAATGATCTTAAAATTAATTATTTTTCCACAAAAAATAAATCATAAAAGATGTTCATCTGTAAAAACAGGGATGTGGTAATTTAGTAGACCGTCCATTGGGTCATTTAAATTTAGTATAAGTTAAATCTTTACAAAAGAAGCACAGATGTTATAGCGCGTTTACGCACTCCGCATCTACCCACCTGGCTGACCTGGCCACGCCTTTTTTACCTGGAGAGTAACGCTGCCTTACAGGAAGTGGAGAAGCTGTCCACGTATACCGATGTTTGCCTAAACGTGACGCAGGAATGTCCCAGCTTTGGATAAGAAGCAATGAACAGATCTCCACTGATCACAGCCACAGAGCTACACTGTAGAGCAGCATGTCCCCAGCAGCCAGAGCCTGTCTACAGATCTCACTCCTTCCGTTCATCGTCTTCGCTGTATCAGGTAAGGGCCACTGCGAAATGGTAGCGAGGCCATGGATTAGTCCGCAAATTCTAGAGGAGTAGTTATGAAGCGGCTTGAAGGTCTCATCACAGTTTTATGGTGTTTACACTTCTGAACTGTTTTTATTGAGCTGTCCATAACATGGCCTTGGTATTATTAGTCCTGTCCAGGACCCAGTTCTTCTTGTATTACGAAGTTGTCGGAATTACATTTTAATTATTTGGCATGTCTGGATTTTTTCTCATTTGGAGCTGGTCTAAAATTCATCTTGTACAGCTGTCATAGCAGCGAGTCTTTAAGCCAGAACCTGCAAAAGTGAAAGACATTTTAGCATGAATCACTATAACGCAGTATAACCTACGATATGACAAAATCTGAAACAAATACATGTCGGCACACTAAAGGAAACACGATCTGGATTTTGAAATACTGTGAGCAAAAAGACAAACTCAACTAAGATTCTAAATGTTAAATAAATGCGCCATGAATAGAATTTAATTCCATTAAAATGAAGGTTTGTCATTTAAACACACATTTCTGAACTAATTTGACTGAAAGTTTGCTTATGAGTGTAATGTCTTTTCCCACTGTCAGAAACGTTGCCTCATCATATCAGGCCACCAGTAGTTTTGCCCAAGGTGACGAACCTCAGCACCAGCATCACTCCTGGTCTGAGCACATTCACAGGAACTGTCTCCTTCAACAGCAGTGAATGTGTGGAAACCTGATGGTGCACAAACGTGAACAAAACAACATTAACATGCAGATAAAATGAGTGTATTGTACATGACTCTGGTACCCCAGTGCATGCCAGGAGAGTTCCTAACATCATCCAACCTTGTCCAGCGAAATGAATGCTGATTATTTTTGTTTTTATTTCAAACACCAGCACAAGATAATTTCATTGAATCAACACATCAGTCCTCTAAGACCCACATCAGCTGGATGGCAATTAACAGGATTATTTTAGCCTAATATCAGCATGTTAGTCTGAATTATTTAAGACACAGAAATAAACAGATCCAGTACAGTGCTGCTATCAGATAAATGACAGTAAAAAGCCACAGTCTAACTTGAATCCTGCTGTGGTCAGTCTACTCCTCAAAGTGATCTAGAGCGATTCATTGTTTTCAGCTTGTGTGAGGAGAGGATGTTATAAACTGCTTGATGGTACGAGTTGTTTCAGTTTCTCTAGCTGGCTGTGTTGTTCAGTTCTGAACATCTCAGACATGATTTTCTATTCTGAAGGCCTAAACCTCAGTTACATCTGATAAAGTAAAGGAGGAGGACCACACACAGACTAACCCTCATCTTTGTTATTACAATAACATTGTTTAAAAATGAAGACCCAAAGTTTTGGCTTACCCTTTGATCATTCATCATACTGAGCAGAAAAACACTTTATACATCATTTGAGACATCACGTTGGCTAATTACACCATCCAGTAGTTAGATCATCCTTAGCCACCTGCGCTGTTGCTCCTCTTTGCCTTCTTTGTCATGGCACCATCTGGTGGTCAAAGCAAAAAACAGATGACAAAACCCCAAAGAAACTAAGAAACAAACTCAAGATAAAGTCTTAACCTGTGAGAAAACATCTTAAATCCATGTGGTGATAATGTAGGACTATTCAATTTCAAAATGCTTCTCATTTCAGAAACAGTAAATCCAGATTATCACCCTGCTTTTGGCCATGAACTTTTTCAATACCTTGAAACTGTTAGTTAAAGATTGTGTACCTGTGTTCTTGAACGTGCTTCGCTACAGAAGAGGTTCAGTCTTGTCACCTAACTGCATTTTCATCTGTCATTTTGTTGTCCCCACATGCACTTCAAACATATATATGACCCCACTGGTGGCACAGGTAATATGTTCTTTCACCATTTAAATCTGTCCTGAATGAGGATGTCTAAACCCTTAGGTGCACATTGTGCTTTTGCACTGAACACATGAGTAACAAGGAGAACTTACTGTAAATTATTATAAATTCTATAAAGTGCTTACACATCTGCAGAGATTAAAAGATTTTTTAATTTCTAATGTTCACCTGTGCGATAACAGGATAATCATGGAAAATATACTTAGAAAAACAAGACAAAACACCTGGGCCTATCCATCTGTTGCAGGCCTGCCCAAATGTTTTTTATGCCTTTATTTCTGTTAAAGTAAAATAATTTGTGTGTTAGGATCAAGATATACATGAATTATGTATATGACTGTGGGAGGAAGCTGGAGTACCTGTATGCAGGCACAGGGAGAACATTCAAACTCCGCACAGAAAGGCCTCGGGTCGGCCTGGGCTTGAACCCAGAACTCTCTTGCTGTGAAGCAACAGCGCTAACCACTACGTAACCGTGCCACCCTCAACAGAAATCTACACCATCCACAAGCTTCATGTCTCAGATAATAAGCTAAAAAACAGATAACCTCACCGTATATGGCTATAGAGAAATAGTACAGTCTAAACCAGTATATATGAGACAGCACAGTGTTGATTCAAGAGGCACATTAGGCGCTGCAGTGTCTGAACATGGCTCTGTTTGCTCAGTACAAGCCTGGTTAGTCATAAAAGGCATGGAGCCCAGGTGTGAGCCTTCTCTCATGTCAGAGTCATCTCAACGTTGTTAACGGTCAATAAAAACACATCTAGGACTTAGGAAGTGGTGATTTTTGATGTTTCAAAATATTTTTCAGGACTGGACATCTGGTGTTTTTATTTCTTTCGTCTCAATCAAATGTCCATGCTTTGTGTTTTACCCAGGTGCCCTGAAGCTGACCGTCACTCCGGACACAGGCACCACTCTCATCATCAGCAGTGCTAAGGTCAAAGGTTGCAAAGTGTGCAGGGACGCAGTACCACTATCACAACAATGTGGTACATCTCTAACATTAAAAGAGTCCACTTCTGTCTCAGTGGTGTTTGATTGCCTTACACCTCAAGATGTATTCACTGTGGAGATTATGCGAAATATCGGTAAGCTATCCCACGTCTCTCTGAGGGGTATCAAATTGTACCATTTTAATGATTATCATGTGAAGTAATCACATTATCTTCGTGAACCTGTACAGTATGTGTGGATTAATTTGTCAGCAAATGCCTCTTCTCAGAATGCACCGCAAACTCGTGCAGCGGCCACATCATTCAGGCGGATTCCTGGGCTCGTCCTTTCCTGGGTTTCAACCGCAAATTCACCTGGAACATTAGGGCTTCAGAGCCAAATGTGCTCAAAATAGACTTCACCACGACAGGTCTGAGACAGATTGATCCATCTCAGAGATGTCCTGACAGACACAGCTACACTCTCCAGGCCTTCCAGGCTACAGGGAACGTGACCTTAGGGAAATACTGCAGTATGGGCACTATCAGTAGTGCTCAGATACAGAATGTGGGCAGCCTTTCTCTGGACGTCCCAGCAGGGCAGGAGCTCAAAAAGAGACAGTTTAATGTGTCTGTCGGGGAGGAAATCAAGAGTGAGTTAGTTTAAATGTTTGTGTCTGAACAACGTCTTTCTTGTGTCCTTCGGTCACATTACTTAACAGTTTCATTTCCTTTCTTCTCTCCTAGCCTTTGCTAAAATTACACTGATGCACCCAAGTGGGAGCTCATCCTCAGAGCTGCTTACTGCAAACTACCCATACAGTTTTCCTGACGACGATGTGATGGAGTGGCATTTTGAAGTGCCAGACAAACACAAAACTTCTGTTCAGTTCTCAAACATTACAGAGCCGCTTTGTCTGAAGAAGGAGACAGCAGTGGAGTACCACACGAAAAAGAGGGCAGCGTTGCTGCTGAGTTTGACGGAGCCCCAGTTGGACGGGATCAGGGGGAACTTTTCCCTGCTGTTGAGGAACTGTGAGATGGACAGAAGAAGACCTGGTTCTCCTGGACTTTCCCT